ATTTATTAACAATTATTTATTTACGATTAGTCACTGTTAAAATTAAACTCAGTTTTTTTCTAAATTACACAGAAAATAAGCAGATTTATCATTTTATTTTTATTTTGAGCTTATTCTGTAAAAAATATTTATTGATATCATTATTTTGTTATCAATGATATCAATACAATTTTCACGATTATACATGTAATTAGGGATAAGACATATTTAGATTTTGTAATATACATATACAGACAGAATCAGAAGACACGGTAGTGGCTTGGTGTCAAGTGTTTAAATATGTCAAGCCATGCCGGATCTCTTAATATATATTACAGGACAAAAAAAGCACGTAATTACAAGTCTAAAACTGTTCAAGATATTGAAATTTTGTAGTATTAATTTTGAAATATAATTTTGTAATAACTCATTCCAGAGAAATAAAATTATGTTTATTGCGTCGCGGTAGAAGCGAAGGCGGACGGTTGAATCAAAAGATTGAGAGACGATTAAGCGAATAGAGTTTATTTCGACAATTACAAAAAACCAACAAAGAAAAAGAGAATTACAAAGATTATTATCGTAATCGCAAGTTCGCGGCGAACGAACGGCAAGTTGTCGGTGCGACGGAGCAAAGCGAGCGACCGAAACCGAGAAAAACGAGAGCCTTTCTGAGAAAACTGACTAGCCTCCGGACGGGAGCTCTGCTATTTATACTCGAGGCATGTTGTTTGTCGAATATTTTTCTAATCGTGACAATGCCAAAAAAACAAGCGCGCCGGAATGCACACCGTCATGGGCACGTGATCGTGGAATGCCGGGTAAGTCAGCTGATGTCACGAAACGTCGGTCGCCGATCAGCTGTACTCCCGGAAGCCCTTGCTCCGTCCTGGTTGTTTACGCATTTTTTTATGATCGCATGATTTGGCGGTTTTGCACATTCCGCCCGCCTCGTCAGTCGCACTGACGAAAGAACAAATTTTATAGGTTGTAAAAGAATCTTCACCCTCGGCGTTTAAATCGTGTTCCTCCAACGAGATCAGCTACGACTAGAGGACTGTTGATGAGTCCCGCGTTAGCCACAATTCCCGGACTATTTGATTGCAACAAACAAGGATATGAGTCTTCACTCGCGAGCCGACGGCGTCTCGCTGACCTCCCCTTCTTCGGTCGCGCGACTCGGCGGCAGTAGCACGATTTTATGCACTGGAAGCTCGAGCGTGCTCCTGGCCGTCCGCACGCTGACGACTCGAACCTGGTCGTCCTCGCCTGGGTGGACGGCCGTGATGCGTGCTAGGGGCCATTTGCACGGCGCCGTCAGATCCCCCCGAATGAGTCATAGATCCCCGACACACGGATTGTCGCCTTTCGTCCACCATTTCGGTCGTGTTTGAAGTGCGTGCAAGCACTCCTTAGACCACCTGTCCCAAAAGTGGTCACGCATCTTCTGGACGAGTCGCCATCGCGGCAAACCTCCCGTTGGCGCGAGTGACAAAGACGGTTCCGGAACGGCATTGAGGGGCGCACCGATCAGAAAGTGCCCAGGCGTGAGCGCGGCCAAGTCCTCGGGATCCTCCGTTAAGGCCGTCAGCGGTCTTGAATTGAGGCACGCCTCGATCTGTGTCAGGAGGGTCGCCATCTCCTCATATGTGAGCGTTGTGTCCCCAATGACTCTCCAGATGTGGTGTTTGGTGGACTTGACGGCCGCCTCCCATATGCCCCCGAAGTGAGGCGCCGCCGGGGGGTTGAACCGCCATCGCACCCCTTCGCTCGCGACCGCGTCCACCAGAGAGCCTTTGTGCCCAGCCTCGCGAAACAGGCGTCGCAGCTCCGCATCCGCCCCTATAAAGTTTGTACCTTGATCGCTGTAGAGTGTCGAACATAAACCTCGCCTCGACACGAAGCGCTTGAAGGCTTCCTTGGAAAGCCTCGGTGGTATAGTCCGACACCACCTCCAGATGTACTGCCCGCGTGCTGAGACACACGAACACCGCCAGGAACGCCTTATGCGCCTTGTGTCCGCGCCCCTTCGTCGTCCGCAGCAAGATTGGGCCTGCGTAGTCCACTCCGGAGTGTGTGAACGGGTGGGACTCTCTTACTCTTGGAGGAGGCAAATCACCCATCAGCGGACGCGGCGCTGCCGCCCGCCATCGTACACACGTGGGGCACCTGTAGATGCACCGCCTCACGGTCGCTCTGCCTCCCGGGACCCAGAACCGCTGACGAAGCAGTCCCAGTGTAAGCTGCACGCCACCGTGCAGTGTGCGCCGATGGCATGAATCCACCAGCAGCGTCGTTAAATGCGAGTCGCGTGGCAGAATGAGGGGGTGCCGCTCGTCCCTACTCAGCATGGCATGCTTCAAGCGGCCGCCGACTCTCAGCAGTCCGCGCTCATCGGCGAAGGGCGTCAGCTGGAGGAGGCTGCTACTTCTTGACAGCATCCCGCTTCGGGACACCGTCTTCCTCTCGCTCTCGGACCATTGTTCCTGCACCCTTCCGATCCACACGCACAAGGCCTTCTCGATTTCCGCTGGAGTCAAGGTACCTGCAACAGATGCACCGCGGCGAGAGCGCAGAACGCCCAACCAAACGACGGCACCACGCCGTGACCCTAAGCAAGCGACACAGTGCTGAAAAGCGCAGCAGCGTGGGGTCCTCCTCGACAGCGATGGCAGCACGCACGCGGCGCCGTTCGGAAATCTCCACGTCGTCCGTCAGTTCCGGTTCCTCGCAGCGACTGGGCCAGTCTCCCCGCGCGAGCCAGGCTGGACCTCGCCACCACAGCGGATGCTCCACCAACTCGCTCGGAAACAGCCCTCGTGAAGCGCAGTCGGCCGGGTTCTCCTCTCCAGGGAGGTGATACCATAGGGCCCCCGGCAAAGCGCGTTGGATTTCGGCCGTTCGGTTGGCGACGTATGTCTTCCATTTGGAAGGATGGCCGCGTATCCACGCGAGCGTCACCGTTGAGTCCGTCCACAGGTGAACTGGCGCAGAGGGAAGGTCAAGAGTCGCCCGCAGTTGCTCGACCAATCGGACCAGCAGGAAAGCGGCGCAAAGCTCAAGGCGCGGGATTGAGACCTGCTTGAGCGGCGCCACCCTAGTCTTCGCCTGGAGCATGGTGACTTGCTCATCGTGATGGCCGTCGCTCACCCGGAGATACGCCACCGCCGCATAGGCCCGCTCGGACGCGTCCGCGAATCCGTTGATCTCCACACCGCCGACCGCCGTCGAGGTGCGCAGCCACCGCGGCATCCGCAAGTTCTCCAGTAATTGGAGCTCCTCCCGGAGCCGCTGCCACGTCCGTTGGTCCTCGCTAAGCAAGGTCTGGTCCTAATCGATGCGCTGCATCCACAGCGCTTGAATGAGTATTTTCGCTCGGATCACCACTGGGGCGATCCATCCCAAGGGATCGAACAAGCGCGCTGTCTCTGCAAGCACGACACGCTTTGTGACGGTCTCCTCCTGGCGCAACCGAACACGGTATCCAAACGCCTCCTGGCGCGGGTGCCACTGGAGTTCGAGAGTGGAGTGACATTGCTCGGGTTCCCACTCACGGTGCTTGCAATACTGTCGGTGCTCTGGTGCGATGTCTTCCAAGAGCTCGTCCGCGTTGGTCGCCCATTTGCGCAGTGGAAAGCCGCCCGCCATGCAGAGCTGAATGAGTTGGTCGCGGATACTGCGACCCTCCGTCGAAGTGTCGGTCAGGACGTCATTGACGTAGACGTCCTGGCGGAGCACCCTGACGCCCTGCGGAAATCGCTCTCCTTCGTCCGACGCCAGTTGCTGCAAAGCCCGGATTGCCAAGAACGGAGCGCAGGTGAGCCCATAGGTCACCATATTCAGCTGGTACTCTTGAGTGGCATCGCGTCGATCCGAGCGCCAGACCACCCTTTGCAGGTCACGGTCGGCTTTGTGGACCAGGACTTGGCGGTACATTTTCTCAATGTCCGTGACCAGAACGAAGCGGTGCCGGCGCCATCTCAAGAGAACGTGAGGCAAGGTGGGAAGCAGGTTGGGCCCAGTCAGCAAGAGTGTGTTGAGTGAGTCACCGCTCGGCAGGCGCGAAGAGCCGTTGAAGACAACCCTGATTTTGCTAGCCTCTCCCTCACCCTTCATGACCTCGTGGTGTGGTAGGTAGCAGATGCGTGTCCCGCTACCTGCAAAGGACGGCTCGACTGGAGTCATGTGGCGGAGCCCCTCATATTTATCCATGAAGGCCGCATACATGGCGTAAAACTTAGAGTTTGTTTTGAATTTCCGCTTCATGCTCATCAACGTGCGTACCGCTGCCCGGCGCGAACCGTCGCACAGTGGGACGAACATCAATTTTTGCGGACATAGGCCATTTCTTTTGTATACAATAAAGAAAAAATATTTGGAATTAATGGAATTATTATTAGCATGTTGCTTTATGATCATTCTATGCCAATTGAATAGTTTTTTAATTCAAAAAAAGCAAAATTCAACAATTTTTTTACCGCTGGCATTTGCTAGGAGTTTCTTACCTACCCAAGACGCACCACGTGGAGGTTGCACAGTCGGTTTTACGTCTCGTGTGTGTGTGTGTGTGTGTG